AGTGACAGAGCTGAGCTCTGTGTACAAGGAAAGTTCAGAGGGCACCAAGATAACCTCTTATTGCTTCATGATTTTGCCACAGCTAATGCTGGACATGCAAATATTGGTCTCTATGACCTTGCCTCCAAGTTGAAGAAGAAAAATTTTCGAGTTATTTTCAAATAACTTTTAGTGTTTTTTAAAACAATTTTATTCAAATATAATTCACAAACTATGAATTCACCCATCAAAACATACAATTCAGTTCAATATTTTTAGTATATTCACAGAGTGGTGGAAACATCACTTCTATTTAATTTTAGAATGTTTTTGTCATCCCCTAAAAGAAAACCCCAACCTTTTTTTTTTTTTTTTAAGAAGCAAAGGCATTTCAGAAGTGCATAACCTTTGTACTCTCTCAGCTGGGCTTGCGCTTGTAGAAATTCAGTTCTTTTTTTCTGTCTTCCTTCTTCTTTTGTATATATATAGAAGTTTGCTTTTATTTTCTTCTGTGTTACCTGTGCCCTTGTGTGCGTGTCTCTCGGAGGGTATGTGGGTGGCGGTGGGGAGGGTGCCCAGATGCTCACTAGCACAAGTCCTCGGCTCCGGGAGCTCACAGGCTGCCGCCTTACTAGCTCTTGGCTCTCGTTGATCTCCCAACAGGTTTATGGGTTTGCTGTGGCAGAAAATTTTAAGCATATGAAAAGCTTTCTCCTCCAATGAGGCCAGAGGCCAGCTACACTTGCCAAATACACAGTGATCCACGGGGGTAAAAACAGTTTGGAAAATTATTTCTTTTTGAGGGAAGATGGTGAAGTCCCTTATCTGCTTTTTCCCTGCTTCTGAACGCCTGCCACACATACCACGTCTTTCATCTTAACTCTATGTGTCAACTGCCTTCTGTAGCCTTATTCTCCCCATCTAATTTCTGCTGCGTTAGGGTTAGCCTCCTGCGCTTCCTGTCTTTGGTCTCCAGCTGTTAATACAGGACTGAACGTTTGATTGATTTTATAAAGCAAACCAGTTTCACAATCGGAAGGTTCTGTTTTGGTTTGTTGTTTTCATTTTAGAGCATTGGATTGAGACTTTTTTTTTCCTTTAATTTGTGGGGCACAGCACTTTTTTTGAGAGACAGAGCGAGCTGGGGAGGGACAAAGGGAGAGGGAGAGGGAGAGGGAGGATCCCGAGCAGGCCCCACACCCAGCAGGAGCCCAACGTGGGGCTCGATCTCATGACCCTGAGATCATGACCTGAGCCCCAATCAAGAGTCAGTCATTTAACCAACTGAGCCACCCAGGTGCCCTGGATTGAGACTTTTTTGATGTGAGTCCCACAGTCTTAACTAGCTTTTCACTAGATCCAGAGTAGCCCAGTCTCTGGCCCCTGGAATATGATCCGGATGTGTGGCGTGACAGAGGAGGACCTCACCTTTCAGATCCTCAGTTTCTTTATCCACAAAATGAGGTGACAGTGTGGACCTCTGGAGTTGCTGTGAGGAGCGAAGGGGATCTCTTAGGGGAAATGGTTAGCCCTGGGCTAGCACAGAGTGAGTAGATGCTTAGGACATATTCGTTTCCTTTCACGTATCTAGAGAAGTCCTCCATGAATTTATCAGTTTTGTGGTTTGGTTCTCTTTCTGGACCTGTCAGTGCTTTCCTTCCCCATGCTTCTCTCAGCTCTCCCCACCGTACCCACTGCGCGTTGTAGTGGACAGAATTTTCTCTTTTCCCTCTTAGGCTTGCAGCAGGTTTCCTAAGTCGGATTGAATCTGACATAAATCATTCCCAAATGTTTCTTTGCATCAGCTCAGTCATGTAGAAAGTGCTTAATTTTGCCATGAATTAAATAATGAGGTACTTTGTGGGTTAACTATACTCAAATTTAAAAAAGATAATAATAAATTTTAAAAAATAAATAAAAAATCAGGCACCTTGAATATCGCTCAGCGAAAACTATTTATATTGTTAATAGACTGATGGATATTGAATAAGCCCTGAGAAATGGTCAGGGCAATGGTTCATTCATAAAGTTGCTATTTACTAGAAATTGAATGGTGTTAGATAATTCTTGTTAATTCTCTTAGAGTGACGATGATATTGGAGTTACGTGGGGAAAATTCTTCAATTTAAGGAGATGTTTAGTGAAATGTTTAGGGTAAAATTTTAAGATACCTACAATTTACTTTCAAATGCAGGTACATATCCAAATACAGATAGAGAGAGAGATCTGTCTATAATGTATGCAAATATGGCAAAATGTAGCAACAATCTTAATAGTTATTGGATCTAAGTGGTAAGAATATGAGTTCTCATTGTATTATTCTTTTAACTCTAATGTGTGTTAGAAAAATTTTATAATAAAAGGTGGGTTGGGCCCCCTGGTTGGCTTAGTTGGTTAGACGTCTGACTCTAGATCTCAGCTCAGGTCTTGATCTCAGGGTTGTGAGTTCAAGCCCTGTGTTGGGGTATAGAGCCTACTTTAAAAAAAAAAAAAAAGCTGGATTAAAAAAAAAACTGGGAAAATATAATCCATAGGGTTCCTAAAAAATGGTCTCATTTGATGGTGTTTTTTATGTCATTATACTTTATGTTGTAAAAATTTCTACTGAGTAAGTATTTCTTTTGAAACCACAAAATACCAATTCTTATAGTACATAATTTTTCCAAGTTGTCCTTATAACTGAACATTTTAAAAGTATTTGGCATATATATCCATCCCAAACTATTTAGAACCTACATTATTGAGGGATTTTGAGTGTTTAAATGGAAACAAGTAACTGATAGTGTTGGTTAATCTGGAGGACTGAAATTTTGGAACACCTTCAGGAGATGACTTTTTAAAAAAATTTATTTTTGTTTACTTTTTTTTTTTTTTTTTGCATTTTTTAAAGTAAGCTCTATGCCCAGTGTGGGACTTGAACTCATCATGATCATGAGATCAAGAGTTGCATGCGCTACAGACTGAGCCAGGCAGGGGCCCCTTTTAAAAATTTTTAAAGAAAAACATCTATATAGCTAAATTTTAGGGAGAAAGGGCTGTCTGCACATTTACTGTAGGGCAGTGTGTCATAATATATATTTGACACATGAGCAGGAAGCAGAGGGGACCTTGTGGGGAGCAGGGAACCTTTTACCTGACAAGAGCAAGTGCCTCTTTAAGCTTTTTCATTTGTAAAGTGAAATACTAATACCTCCTGAGGAGTGATGAGGCACTCAATATGCTCAGTAAAACAGTGCATTTTTTTTGTTGTTAATGTTTGTCTCTAATCCGAGAAAGATAGGGATTTGGACATAATAGTGAGTGTGATAGGGTTCTAAATTTACCAAGTCTGGAAGGAGACCAGATTGGGTCAGTCTGTCACTGTAGATCTATCCCTCTTAAATTCTGTCTGCAAATGGTGAATGATTCTTCCCTCCTAGTCTGGCCTTCAGGAACCTTCTGAAACTTATGTCTCACCATCTAGCACTGATAGGTATGTGGGCTTTTAGAATTTTTTTTTCCCAGATTCATTTACTACTCAATACTGCTTGCCCTCAACTGTGGACAGACAAACGCTAGACTAGGACATCAAGGTGGAACAGGTCCTGTACAGGGTTTCACTCACCAAGCTCTCGAAGCCCAGGGGTTTTTCACTGAGTGGATTCCACTCACTGATCCACGACAGTGTTACATTTAGGGAAGGATTTTCCACGCATAAAAGTGATTTCCTCCTAGTTTTTCATACAGAGAACTCTTAATGCAAGGCTTCATCCATGTGTCGGATATTTCTTGGATTCTTGTTTTAATTAAAATATATGTTGGTATTACTAAAGAAAATATTACCTTATTCTATTTAGCATGTTCTAGTGACAACGTATTGTAAGTCAGAAAACCTGCCATGCAAACTTTTCTCATTTACTAGGTCTGTGTCCTTATGAAAGGTCAGTGAATTCTTATTCTTAGTTTTTTCATCCCTAAAAATCACATGAGCCTCTTTTTTTTGTATCAAATAAGAATATGTATGATAGTAAATAATAAAGAATGATATAAATTTTTATTATTAATGTTACTGTGACTACCACTCTTTTTAATTCAAATAAATTCATTGACCTACATATCCAGGTTATGATTTGCTTTAGGGAATGTTGTACAGTTGTATATTTTGGTTTAACTGAAGATGGTTGGGATTGAACCCAATCGTGAGCTTTTATTTCCTTCTATTTAGCTTATTTTTCCCCACTTTCTTGCACATTGTAGGATGTGCAAGAAATGAAACAATTCTTTGTAACCCTTTTCGGGAACATAATTTTTTTTTTAATTTCTCAAAAAAAGTCAATAAACTTTAGGGCTTATTTTATCTTATCCATCAAGATAAATGAGCGTGTAAGCTACCTGAAGGTTTTATGGGCCACATAAAAATACTTGCTTTCATTCCCACTGTCCTGGTGAGAAAAATAATTCTGTTTTCTGGACATAATGAAATCCTAAAGCCATAATAAATAGAAGTTGCAGGTATGGTCTTCCCCCTGCAGGGTTTGTCTTCCTGGAAGATAACTGGGGAAGAACTCTGAGGAATTCCCAAGAACCATCAGAAGCGATGGCAGACTTGGAAGCTGCGGTCCTCCCTTGAGCCCATGCTGAACTGAGGCTTAAGTATGGCTTTAGGCTCCACATGGACCTTAGACATCACAACTCCATGAGGAACCACATGTCGCCCACACCAGCAATTTGGGCTTTAAAATTGCGTGCGGCATTTTGTAGGAGACAAGATGCCGCCTTGGAATCACCATCAGATCTGTGTCTGGTTAATTATAGACTGGCTTTCTACATCCCAAATGAATGTCTGTAGGTTCTCTTGATTTTTGAAAGCTACCTATGTCAGTGTAGAATTATCAGCATTTTCAGAAAGAAGATTAAAGGGGTCCTTGTTTTTACAGGGTACATATTTAGTCCTTTGGGATCAAAGTTACTATTATACTATCTTGTATTACCTCCTTCTTTTAAACATTATCTTTCTTTCTTTTCTTTTTATATTTTTATAGCATGTCAGTGGAAAAACCAGTGGATCACCTTCCAAGTCCGGAGAAAAGAAAGGATCAGATGAGGTAATTCCCACAACACTGGGCTTTCCTTTTCTCTTGCTTTTAATTGTGAATTCTCTCTTGAAACAGATAATGAGGTTGCAAAGAGCTCCTACTGGAATATTGGCAAATTTAGTCTTAACCAAGATTTGATTCAAGAATATAAGTGGAAATCATTAAAAATTAATAAAGAGAAAAGTGTTCCTGGGGAAAGAACCTTTAGAAATAGTTTCTATTTAGGAACAGAAGCCAGTTATTGAGGGTGTTTTCCCTAGAGGAATTGCTGAACCTTAAATGTTGTGTTGGTGAACACGACAGATTTAGAGGGAGAAACCAAATGCTGTAGTGGAAAAGGACATCTTTGTTCGTGAGAGTACTCTAGGAAGGACCGTGACCGCCTGGATGAACCCATCATTTAGGTTCATAAACAAAAGGAAGAAAGAGAGACTATTTTGATTTGGATCAATTCTGTGGAAAAGCAGTAAAACCAAACCTTTCCACTTGGGGATGAGTTTTCTTTGACGCTGAATTTCTTCCTCCAGTGAATGACGCACCATTATGTGCCCTGTCAACACTGGCCGACTTGTCCATGGAAGGGTCCTGCGAATGTGCTGTCCTTCCAAAGGGTACAAGGAAGCATAAAAATGATCATTATGTTTTTCTCCATGTTACCAAAATGTTTTTAGAAATTTTGCTCCTCTTCTTTCTGCAATTTTGTAATATTGAATGTATTTCAATATATTCAGTATATAAGGAGGCTGTTATAGCTAGAACCTTCTATGGATTCTGCCGGTGGTTCGCTGAACTTTCTACTGTCATTTTCGTTACCAATACACTTGAAAATATAATTTAGAGTCTTTCCTTTTTAATTATTAATTTGTATTTTATTTATTTATTTACTTTACACTGTTTAAGTCTATATAACAGTTGGTCTCATGGAGGAGAGTGCTGGAAGAGGTGAGACTTTCTTGCCATAGCAAGCCCAAATTGCGTCAGACACACTTGGATTATGTGCTACAAAGTGTTGCTTGTAATAGACTATTTCTTGACAAGCATATTTGTAATGAATTTTTTGTACCCATGGAAGGCAGATGTTTCTTTAAAATTAGAAAGTGAGAGTAAACATTAAGATTTTATCCTGTTTCTTGGTTAAATTATTAAAAAATAGATTCCCATATGAAAAACCAGGGCGCCTGGGTGGCTCAGTTGGTTAAGCAACTGCCTTTGGCTCGGGTCATGATCCTGGAGTCCCGGGATCGAGTCCCACATCGGACTCCCTGATCAGCGGGGAGTCTGCTTCTCCCTCTGACCCTCCCCCCTCTCATGCTCTCTCTCTCATTCTCTCTCTCAAATAAATAAATAAAAATATTTAAGAAAAAAACCCCACATTTTCCTCCTTTTACTAGCGTGAGAATCTGTAGAATGTCATTCAGTTCCTCATCTACCCTACCTATTAAATATATTCCCAGATAAGTTATCTATCAAATAATTTATGATTTGAAAATTATAGTGTTTCTTTATTCTCCAGACCCCAGAATAATGCGTTTGGATGTTATTCTTTATTACTATAAATCAAGATTAAACTATTTACACACAAAAGGAAATCTTTTCTAATGTGGTCAAGTGAATAGTTGGCTAGTTCATATATCACTAATTGTGTTATTACTCAAAAGCTTAAATATTACATCTTGAATATATAGGCATTGTTGGTTTAGGCAACAACTGCTATGGCACAGTGTTAGGTTGTTTTTCTTTTTTCATAATATCTAGACTATAAAGTACCTTATTTCCATATTTATAAGGGGCTTGAGAAAACTCGTAAGGACCTCTGTTACAAATGTAGCAAGGGGGACATAATTTGAGATTTCTGTGTTAGTAGAGACAGACTTCACTTTTAAGTTTGAAATGAAAGGCTGAACTTCCACCTCAAGGAAAGGAAGAAGGAATTTTTCTTCTGTTTATCAGCCAGTCAAGGAATTCTGGTTTTGTTTCGTAACGCTTCTGAGAAATTCAGATTTACAACTCTTGTCTTGTGCCGAGCCTGGACACATTGGTCTTTTGCTCTGTCTCAGCCAGCAGAAGTGAAGAGGGGGCAGAGGCTTTCCCCCGCTCCCGTGGCATAAATCACTGTAGAGATTCATACGGTTTGAGACTGAAGATTATTTATCATCTCCCCAAATTCTCCATGTACATCCGATAGGGTAGACGGACCTGTGGGTGGGTTGACTTGGTGGTCAAGGCATAGTTCCAGTATGGTCTGTCTCCAGGGAACCTCTCATTCCTTATGTCCCATACAAAGTAGTGCTTGGTGAGATACTGTGGCCCTGGAGAGAACTCAAGGAAACCGTCTTGCATTAGGCATTGTTTTAGCTTTTGTGTGCACAGTGACAAAACCATGTGTGATTGGGTTTACCGTCCACGATTGGTTACCATCCTCTTTCCTTCTCAAAATCACCACGGAAAGATTTCCCGAAACCAGTCCTTTCTCCCAAGTATTTCATGACCTACTGCTCCTTTGAACAAGAACTGAGATTCAGAAGCTTCATTGGGGTTTTGGTAATCCATTTGCAGACTAGTATATGCTTCCAGAGGTTAAATAGCACGTCCCTAAGCATATGCAAACATGCGGTTCGGCTTCCACAGACAAACCCAGGCCTTTGAAACAAAGTCAGTTTGAAAAGGGCTTTCTAGGCTCAGGGGTACTTTTTGGCTTTTTTTTTTTTTTTTTCTTTCTCTCTTTATTATCCTGTTGCATTTTATTTGGAAGTGCAAGAGAAAGGATACATAGGAGGACTTCAGGAAGATATAACCAGGAGAAAAAATGATTAGGGTGAGGTAAGAGCCACTATTATATTGACATATGTAAACATACCTGGGGATGAATGCTTTGTGTGAAGGTCAGAGCTCTTTCTCTCCAGCAATCATAAATAGTTCTTACTTGTTTGGTGTTTGACCCCTGTACAGCCACTAATGATCCTAAGAAGTTGGCAGCAATTTTAACAGAACCTTACAACCAAGGTATCATTTGTCATGTTGCATTTGCAATACAGATGCTTGAGGAACGCCTAGAGTAAGTGTCTAGGAGAACGAATTCACTTATTTGTTTGTACCAGTCATTGTGATTTGGCTTTGTCCTCCTCAGATGTAGAGGAATTATAAAACTAATAGTTGCATGGACTAACAAGCCGAAGATACAAGGACTAGAGCAGGAAAAAGAAAAATGAAAACATTTAACACCAGCCCCTTTAAAGACACTGGAAGAGAGAAGCCTTTTCAAACCTGTAATCAAATCTATTTAAAGTATTTGACTAACACAGCTGGCCTCACTGGGGGAGTGTGAGCATTCTAGCAACATATTTCAGTGAAGGCCTGAGGGATGGAATTTAAAGCATTACATGGGCACAATCTTACAGAGCCAATTATAAGAACTCAAATTTAATAATAGATATATTTTAGGGGCACAGAAAGGGAGCTATAAATACAAGAGAATAGAAATTGCACCTTAAAGGAAAAGATAATGGGGCAGATTTTCTTTACCATCAGTAATAGTAAAAGCATTCTTAAGTGTTTACCTTTCCTCCTTCTAAAATGCATGAAGTATTGAATGACTCGAACATTTTTTACACTTTTTCTCTTAATGAAATTAGTCTTTTTTATTTTATTAATTTCTTAAAGATTTATTAATTTGAGAGAGAGGGAGATCAAGAACATGAGCGGGGGGAAGGGCATAGGGAGAGAATCTCAAGCCGACTCCCCGCTGAGTGAGGAGCCCAACTCACGGCTTGATCCCAGGACCCATGAATCATGACCTGAGCAGAAACCAAGGGTCAGTGACTTAACCGACTGAGCCACACAGGTGCCCCCCAATTAGTCTTTTTTTTTAATTACAGAAGCAATATGTACTTATGAAAAACAGTATTACCTAATCCACCACTTAGTTATAACTATTGCTATCCAGTTTTGTGTGTATTCTTAAACCAATGCGATAATATCTTCTGTTCATACTTAATATATATATTGATTTTAGCAACTTTTTTTTTTTTTTTTTTTTTAGAGAGAAAAAGCTAGCAGGGGGAGGACAGAGGGAGAGCAGGAGAGAGAATCTTAAACAGGCTCCGTGCCCAGTGCGGAGCCCAATGCGGGGCTCCAACGCATGACCCTGAGATCATGACCTGAGCCAAAATCAAGTGTCCAATGCTTAACTGACTGAGCCACCCAGGAGCCCTTAATTTTAGCAACTTTTTATACAGCTAAAACATAATCACAGAAGAAAATTGAGAAAATACTGAAGACTTTAAAGAAAAAAATACCATCGTCCAGAATTCTAGCACCTACAGAGATGGCCACTACTGCCATCTTGGTGTATTTCCCTAAGTCTTTTTTTCTCTCTGTATATTATGTTTAAGCTGAGATAACAAAGAAACATCATTAGGAGGGCCTAGAAAACAATAAATAATGTGCTTTGTGAAAGATCAATCTTTTCCATTTGAAAAGAGTCATCATTGTGGGTGACTTAAGAAAGTCATTACTCAAGTATCTTGGCATTTAGTATGGCATTTAATCTGGTTTTTATTTTGTTGCTGTGTTTGTGAGGGTGAAACACATACTTCCTCAAAAAGTCTTCTGGGACAGTGTTCCCACAAGCAAGTGGTGTAGCTGTTAGAAAATTCTGGAAGAGTAGTTTAGGATACATCATTTTAAGGGATTATGGGTCATGACAACAGAGTCCATATTAATTGTGGGTTAACTGTGGCTACGCAAGCTCATGTCCCAGTTTCCAGAAAGAAGCAAAGCCAAAGTTGTGCCCCGAGGGCAGTCCTGCCTGACTCCCCCGGACACCCATACCAGGAGCCAGCCCAGAATCCAGCCACATGGCTGATGTGGCAGGTTAAACAAAGGGAGGTGCCAGAAATTCTTTTGGACTACAGTTTCCTAATTTTCTTTCTTTTTTTTTTTTTTTGAGTTCTAAATTTTGATTCCTTTCTTCATTGACTGGAATATTTTTTAACATAAATTTTTCAGGGAGGGAGCGTGAATGGTGATTTTCTTTTTTTTTTTTTTTTAAGATTTTATTTATTTATTTGACAGAAAGAGACACAGTGAGAGAGGGAACACAAGCAGGGGGAGTGGGAGAGGTAGAAGCAGGCTTCCCGCTGAGCAGGGAGCCCGAGGTGGGGCTCCATCCCAGGACCCTGGGATCATGACCTGAGCCGAAGGCAGACGCTTAACGACTGAGCCACACAGGCACCCCCTTAATGGTGATTTTCTGAGTCTGTGTGGATCTAAGCATGCTTTGGTGCTGACCTCATACAAGAAATAAATACAAAATTGTACAACATCCTTGGCTAGCAGTTCTGTTCCCTCAAAATCCCATACCTGTTGCTCCATGATTTTTCTGACTTTAGAGTTGTAAAGAAAATGTCTGGGAAGCCTAGTTTTATTTTTATAAACCCTGTTTTTCCTGCCTTGGCACGTATACAATTTTGTTGCTGTTCTTACAATTTAAAAAATTGCCAGGATGTGCCTATATATCTGTTTCTCTCTATTAATTTTTTCCTGAAATGTCTTATTTAATTATTGTTCTTATTTTGGTTTAGCTCTCAGGGCAGTAGAAGTCAGCCGCTTATTGGTTGCTAACCATGGGATGGGACAGGATGCAAATTCTTTTGTTGATTATATATTGCAGAGCCTTTCCCATTAAAAATAGAAGGATGTTTGGTAGTTCATTAAGCTCAATAGCTGTTTTGTTTAAAAAAAAAAAAACCCACAAAACTATGTGTAAAACCCAGAAACATATGCCAATAGCTAGAAAGTAGAGACCTTATGCATCATCCTTCAGTGAATTGTTTTACCAAAAGCAAAGGATACAGCTTTACTAAAGATTATGCAAATAGTGTGCTTTTAAATCAAGCATCTGTGATATACAAAATGTTATATCATTGGATAGGGAACGGCTAATAAAAACAGTAAGTACTTTGCCTTTATCAGTGAGCATATAAATATATCAACAATATATCATACAGTCATAATTTGTACTTCATTATTGTACTTTGAATTTATGAGCCTAATTACCTAAGACCTTAGGTCCCACCAAAATTGTCTCTGAAAGATTGTACTCATGGCACATGGAATTCGAATCAAATGTTAACAAAATAGCAAAGGAACTAAATGGAAGTTAAATTTGCTAGCCTCAGAGTAAATCATAAGTCCTGGAATCCTGATGGACAGATTGATTAAATATTATTCCTGAAATATACTGTTTTAAAGTATATATGTGTTTTCATTCTTCTCTTTAGATTTCATTAGCTTCTCAAAGATAATAACATGACTGATTAAAAAGGGACAATAACCTGAAATCATGCCCATAGCAAAATGATTCATCTGAGGACTGATAAATGTATGATTCTTGTCATAAAGTCAACTATATTTTGTCATATAACAATGCATAATAGCTCATTATAGCCTTTTAAAAGAGGTTCCTCAGTGAAAGCAAAACCTAATGGAAAGTTGACATCATCAAGTCTTGTATGTTTCAATCAACATTATTACAGAATGCTTAGCAAATGCGTAGAGCACTGTGTTAGTATCGTAAAAAATTATTAATAATTCCCTATTCCTAATTTCCCAGGACATTACATGAAATAACACAGTGGTTCTCAGGTATTAATGTGCCTAACAATCACTTAGAGATAGTATGAAAAATTCGGACTCCTGGGCCCCATCCTCAGAGATTCTGATTTAGCAGATTTAAGGTGGGGTCAACGAATTAGGGTTTTTGTTGTCTTTTTTGCTTCCTTTTTTGTTTTGTTTTTACCAGTTACTTCAGATGACTCTTATGTCAATGGTCTTCCGAGCACATTTTGAGTAACACTGAGATAATATTTATAGAGTGCTCTTCTTTTCTTTCTTTTCTCCCTTTTCTCTCTTTTCTCTCTTTTCTTTCTTTCTCTCTTTCTCTCTCTCTCTCTCTCTTTCCCTCTCTCTCTCTTTCTCTCTCTTTCTCTCTCTTTCTCTTTCTTTTTCTTTCTTTCTCTCTTTCTCTTTCTTTCTTTCTCTTTCTCTCTTTCTTTCTCTCTTTCTTTCTCTTTCTCTCTCTTTCTTTCTTTCTCTCTCTCTTTCTTTGTTTCTTTCTTTCTCTCTTTCTCTCTCTCTTTCTTTTCTTTCTTTCTTTTTTCCTTCCCTTTCCTCCCCTCCCCTTCCCTTCCCATGATTTCCTCACCCTGGCCTCTGCCATGTTCTGGGGATGATGTGGCTCTGAAGCACCTTAACAGTGCTGTAGTTCCAAACAGTCATGGATCATGTGGGCAGCTTTGGTTGGAGAAACAGGTACTAACCCCATTTTTTCCTTCTTTTCCTAGGACCTTGTCCCTGAAGCTATTCATTCTTTCTTCTACTCTTTGTTTAACGACTCCTCTTAGACTACATATTAGTTCAGCCTTCCTCATTATAAAGTTTTAAAACATGTCCTTTGAAATTGCTCAAGCTCCCATTCTGTCTTTCTTTCTTGCCCTCACTGCCAACATTCTTGGTTGACATTACTGAAGGAAAGGGTGTAGAGAGAGAGGAGAGAAAGCAGAAGCAAATGTTGATAAATGCCCGCGTGGGGGAGGTAGGAAGGAGAAATCAGTGAACAAGTCAAAGAAGAAGCATTTAAAAGGGTAGAAGGACCAGGATGTTGCTGTGTCGTCAATGGGAAGACTGGAAGAAAGGTCTGGGCTGATAATTGCCGAATTATGGGGGCTGTGGAAAGGCCCTTGATCGTGGATTGGGATTTTGTTTGTCCTCTTTGAAGCTGTTACTGTTAGGACTGTGAGGGTGCTGAGTAAGTGGAGATTCTGCACTGATGACTCTTCAACGTACATGGATTTATGTAATGAACATCCGATAAAGGGAAAAAAAAAAGGAAGTTGAAATCAGTGTTTATTTATACAAAAAGAGGTAAGTGTGGCCAAGATGCATCCCGTGTTACAGATTTCTTTGATTGCCAATTGTTTATGGGTGAATGGAATCATTTGTTAATTGAATAATAACAGGTATGAAAGACATTGGTTTGGAAAGAACTCAGGAGTGAATTCTAAACATATGTTTATCTTAATCATTAGGACTCCAAACTTCCTGGCTGGTTATTCACTTCAGGGTTCGCATCCCCCCGGGCTCTTTCTTTTGTAAATCAAGCCTCTGATTCCTAAGTGGTCTAATTGGAGCTCAAGGAGCAGAATTTTTGGACTTTAGTATATTCCAGAAATATATCACTCTGGAATCTGAAATCTGCAAATACGGTTTTGAAGAAACACATTTCTCTTATGGGAAATTGAAGGCTAAAATGCTTTCATATTCACATTGCAATTTTTGGTTTCACTTAGTACTTGGGATAAAAATTGTTTCACTGAATATAATTTTGTTACTTACTTTTTCGTGTGCTTTCTTAAAACACTGGATAGACTTGGTAAAATCTGAAACCATACATCTATTTCACTGAATAATGAAAGCTTAATAGGAAGCACAATGACTAATACATTTTAAAATAATTCATTTAAAAGACAATGAAGTCTCTTACTACCAGTCCTAAGGACACGAGCTCCTGAGATACTTGTTAGGTGTGATATCTGCCCAAATGCCATAAACATATAGTTCGGGGGACACCCAGTGGTTAAAAGGAGGAAATTCTTTGCTGGGTACATGGTTGACTTTGTCTTTGTAAATTAACATATGTTACGGGGGGGGGGTGTGTATTTTAAGAGGCTTGATTTTGACTTCTTATATAAATTTTCTTTAAATATTCGAAAACCTCCAAATTATAAGATTGGAAATATATAATTAAGCTTTTCCTTTAATAAAAACATAGTGGTATTTTAAAATGTAAAATAACTGAGAGACTTAAATAAGAAAACCAAACCTTTTTGACCCAGAAATTCCAAGTCTAGAATTTGTTTCAAGTACATAATTGGAGGTGTGCTTGGTGGCACAAGGATCTTTATCACTGTATTTATAATAACAAGCTAGGAGAGAAATACATGTATAGCAGTAATGAATTGGTGAAATTGTGACACAGACATAGTAACCAAAGCATCTTTAACACCATGCTTCAAAGAACTTTTAATGACTGAGAAAAGTGTTTATGTTAGGTTAAAGAAAGATGAAAAGCTTACGATTTCATATTGTAACATATTGTGCATATTTTTGTGTTTCTAAAAGTAGAAAAATAACTGGAAGTAGCTGTCTTGATTGGCAGGATTTTGAATACTTTACATTTCCTTCTTTCTACTTTTTCCTTTATTCTAAATGTATTTTTTTCATCAGAAGGAAAAAAATAGAAAACAACATCAGATAATAAAAGAATAATGGAAGAGACCTTAGACCTTAAAGAGAGAAGTATTTTATGTGTGAGCCTTTTTTCTTTGGAACCTCTAAGAGATACTTCCAGAACAAGGCTGCTGTGTGTGTGTGTGTGTGTGTGTGTGTGTATGTGTGTGTGTGTGTGTTTGCGCGCATGTTTGAATAGAAGTACATCTCTTAGATATGGACAGAGTGAGGATTTAAGTAAGGCAGCTTAGAGGGCAAGGATTCTTAACTATTTTTAGTTCATAGTCCCTTTGGAATCTGATGAAAACTGATCTTTTCCTCTGAGAAGTACACACATATGTGAATACAAAAAATGCTCCTAAAATGGGACGTACAGTTTAAAGACATTTAGATGTACACACCATCCCCACCCCTGCAGGGACAATCTTATTGACTAGATATATTTAGGAGGTACCATCTGATAATATTTTCCCAGTTGGCTTGTTGTTGATGTCTGTAATTCCACTGTTAGCAGTTTACTTAAACTTTGAGTTAAACGTTGCCTTTCCCTGGCTCCGCTTTTAAATTATGGGTATTCCTAGGAGAAAGAATATATTAATTATTAACATCTTAGTGAGAAGTAGTTTGACAGGAGGAGAAGAGAATTATGTAGCACAATTTTTATGTCGATTGGTAATGGTAGTTGAGAACTAGAGAGCATTTGATAATAATAGCTAACACAAATATAGCCATTACACACACGCACACACACCCTCTTACAATAATCCCATTCTCCTGATGAGGAAATTGAGGCAAAGCTTGATTAAATAAGGTTTTTAATACCAAGGTTACACAGGTATTTGGTAGTGAAGTTCAGAATTGATTCAGTTTACAGAGTCTGTGCTTTTATCTAGTATCTGATAGTATTCATAAAATTACTTTTAAAGAATTCGATGTAAGACCAACACCAAAAACTTTCTTACTACTGTTGTCAATTTATGTAACTCTTCTTTCCGTCTTTCTTCCTTGTGTTGTACCTTGTTTTCATTCAAGAAGTTCGTAAAGTGAGATTAAGTCATTCCACAGGAATAAAACGCACAGCATAGGGAATATAGTCCATGACACTGTAACAGCGTCGTATTACGGTGACAGGTGGCAGCTACACTCGTGGTGAACTTAACATAACATATAGAGATGTTGAATCACCAAGTTGTACACCTGAAACTAATGTAACAGTGTGTGTCAACTATACTTCAATAAAAAATTAATTAAAAAAAGAGTAAATTACTCCAATTCCCAGGAATCTGGGAATGTAAGGAAGAGTAGGTACAGCTATTCCCTCTCTGGGGGGTATGAAGTGCAACAGGGAGGGAAACTGAGTCACAGCAGACTCAGAGTCAGAAGGATAGCGTTTGGCTGCTTGTCAGGGCAGCCCCCTCGGGACTAGAAAGACTTGAGTTGACTTGCAGATGATGATGGGTACTGACTAATTAGAATATAGCCAAACTCAGTGAAGTGTAGCTACCATAGTCTGTGTTATTAAGACTGTTGTATGTGAGGCATTTCATTCAATAAGTGAATTTCTATGCAGTGAGTTAATGGTGAGATTTATTCATTAAGACTTATTTATCCGTGTTTCCCAGGAGCTAACATATCCTGTTTATTGCATTGCATTTGTGGTAGCATACATTTACACTTCTTTTGGTAATAAAGGGAACTTGTTCTTATTTGTACATTATTTACAACCATGGTATAAAGGAACATTTGTAGGTAAAAGTCAAACTTTATGATTGCTAGTGTTGGGGAATCTGCCTACCCTTTTGAAAGACAATCATTTTCCAGATACTATTTTCCAATTTAGCATGTGTTTTCATGTGGAAACACAATACTTCTTGTCATTTTATAGGGTAACTATTAAGTAATGGAACTGAGCTGTTAACAAATATGTCAAAACATATATTTTAATGAGAGTTTTTATCCTGTAAACGACTACATTTCATCAAGTCTAAGAAACCACTGATCTAAAAATGCACGGATTAGAAAATGCTAAGAAAGGAAATAAAACCATCAGTTAATCTCTCACCCCAGCTTTCTTATACTGATCTTTTTATTGAAGTATAATTGGCATACAGTGCTTTATTAGTTTCAGGTATACAATATGATGCAGCAATTCTATATATTATTCAGTGCTCAGCATGATAAGTGTACTCTTAATCCCCCCCACCTCCCCTCTTCTAGTGATTTTAAGAAGCATCCGTTTGCAAGAGGTATGAAAAAGGAAAGAAAATGGTGGCTTCATATCAATAAAATGAAATCCATATCAATAAAATGAAATCAGTAAAATGAAACCTGAAAATTTATATAGTTAATTCCATTGTTCAAATAATGTTGAAACTAATTCCACTTTACATTTGGAGCATAGAAGAATTTCATCTCTTCCTCAATACTTTTTTTCCACTAAAATCAATCAGTATCATCCAGTTCAATAGCCTTCTCATAATTACCACATGTGAATCTCATTAACTTTTGGGAGTTTCAGAAACTGAAGTCTCCATTTAGAGGATAAATGTTTGTTTTGCATCTAAGCATAATCAAATAACGTGTTGCAGTTTCTGAAAACAGTTCAGCAAACAGTTTCAAAAATATCTTGAGAAATGATTTGAACATGCCAGCAGCCACATTGAACCTTTGAGGATTTCAATACTCTTTTAATGCAAAAGTTCTTGTATATCCGTGGGCTCAAAAATTTTGTCACGTATATTTGATCTGTTACTTATAGACCATTGTAAGCTAGAGAATCCCCTAGCCTGCTCTCTTAAGGGCTCCCCAGGGAATATTTGCTATTACTTTGGTAGAAAAGTAGACCGGCTCCATTTTCCTGCACTTTTTTAAAGATTTTATTTATTTATTTGAGAGAGAACGTGAGCACGAGTAGTGGAGGGCAGAGGCAGAGGGAGAGGGAGAAGCAGACTCCCTGCTGAGGAGGGAGCCCCATGTGGAGCCCCATCCTAGGACCTCCAGACCATGACCTGTGCTGAGGGTAGACGCTTAACCAACTGAGCCATCCAGGTGCCCCATTTTCCTGCACTTTGGGGGGAGGAGAGAATCACTGGATTTGTCACTGCAGAAACTCTGACCAACTCAGAGACCAACTCCATGTCATCTGGGGCAGGAGATGGAGGTCTTGCAACATAGGTGGATTTCATCATCAGTGGAAGTCTCTGAGGATTGGGTATCTAAAAACCAACTTGCCCCTTTATTCATACCCAACCCCTCAGTGTTACTTGGGATTTGTTGAGCTTCTTGGATTGGTGGGTTCATCAAATTTGGAAATGTTTTGGCCATTATTTCTTCATATATTTTGATTTGTCTCCATGTCTTTCCTTATCTTTGGAGGTTGCAATTATACAAATATTAGCTGCTTCAAGTTGTCCCACAGCTCACTGACCCTCTGTTCCCTAACCCCTAGTCATTACTTGCTGTTTCATTTTGGATAGTTTCTATTGCTATGCATCCACGTTCACTATTCTTTTGCGGTATTTCATCAGTTCTTAATCCTAGTGTATTTTTCATCTCAAATATGCATTTTTTTTATCTTTAGAAGTTTGATTTGGGTGGTTTTTAAGAAAATATCTTTTACGTCTCTCTTTAACTTACTTTTTTTTTTTTTTAAGATTTTATTTATTTGTCAGAGAGAGAGCAAGAGCACAAGCAGGGGAAGCAGCAGGCAGAGGTAGAAGCAGGCTCCCTGCGCCCTATGTGGGGCTCAATCCCAGGACCCTGGGATCATGACCTGAGCCAAAGGCAGACACTTAACTGACTGAGCCACCCAGGCTTCCCTCTCCTTAACTTACTTTTAAAAAGCTTCCGATTTTGAAATAATTAGATTCCTAGAAAGTTGCAAAGATAGTATGGAGAGGTCCCCAGTACCCTTTGTACAGTTTTCCCATTGGTTACATAGTATGTAATTATAGTACATTATCAAAACTAGGAAACTGACATTGGAACAACATGTGTATGTAAGTTCTGTGCCATTTTATTACATGTATGGATTCGTGTACCCAGCACTGCAATCAAGATACCATGCTTTTTGAACATTATATTTTCCTACTTATGGAAAATAAAGTTTTATGTTTCTGCTTCTATGCATGCCTTATAATTTTTTATTAGATATCAAACAGATGTGCATTTCGTCTTGTTGGGTGCTTGTTTGTTGCTGCTGTTGAGCTATGTTCTGGGACACAGTTAGGTTACCTGGAAATAGTTTAATCCTTTGAGGTTTGCTTTTAAGCTTTGTTTGGCTGGACCAGAGCAGCCTTTAGAGGAGGACTAACTTGTCCTTCTGCGAATTCTACCAATGATTCTGACTTCTGGGAACACTCTATTCCTGGTCTCTGGGGTTTTACCTCTGCTCCTGCGTGTTCTTGACCCAGACTTGGGGTTTCTTCATAGGCATGCACATGCAGACCTCTGGGGCTCTCTCCTGCAGCTCTCTTCTTTCTGGTGTTCTTCCTATGATCCCCTTAAGCCCCCTTGGTCTGTGGAACTCCCACCTCTACCTCCTCAACCCATAGAGATTGATGGCTTCTGCCTTGGTTCTTCCTCCACATTCCATGCTCATGCAGCCTGGAAACTTCTCTAGGCAGTAAACTGGGTCAGACTGGGCTCCCTTCACTCATTTCCCTGTCAGGGAACATCCTATGCTGCCTGGTGTCCCATGTCTGAAAACCACTCTTTCATAATATTCTCTGGGAGCTTTTGAGTTGTTCAGGGTAGGAGCACTCCTCCTTTTGGGATCTAAATTTCCTTATATTTTTGACTCCACATTTCCTTATGTACAAACTTCATAAATATAAAAGGGAAACAAACTTGTACTTGAAAGGCGCATGTAGCCCAGCTTACAAACTTAAGTTCCTTCTTTTACTCTGAAGGTGTTTGAGCACTGTTTTGAAGGTGGGTTGTTAAATTTTTCTCATTCATAAACCTGGTCACTGACTTACTAATTTGTTGATATACTAATGAGTTTTAGTGCTTTCCACGTAGTCTGCCACCATTTCAATGTGCAACAAAACTGTTGAAATCGTCTCTGCAGTACCTTGACGTCTGACGCCTTGGGGTGCCTCAAAAGGGTCCTTGCAACTCTCAGGAAACACACTGAGGTCATGTCTATTCCTGCCAATCTTCTGACCCTGAATCACCGCCTAACCCCTGCCCCACCACACACACACACGCACACACACACACAAGAGACCTTTGTGACAGCTGTCCAGAGGGGCCTCGTCTTTGACGTCTGGTGCCAGGCCTGCAGCACCTGCTGTGGTGACTCTGGCAGGCCTCACTCAAGAGCGAGGGTTTTCAGCATTCACTCTGTAAGTAGTCCAGGGCCACGCTTAGTCAGCATTTTGTGAGTAATCATGCTATGTCTGGCTGTGGGCTAGGTGCTTCACATTTACACCTTCCATGTAATCCCCAGAGCTCACACAGGCCAGGGCGTATGATGTGTTCCCACCAGTGAGGGTCACTGGGTAGAGTACTCAGAAGGGTATCATCTCTGTATTGAAAAAAGAAAAATTAGTCCTACTTTGAAGGCTGCTTTCGTCCAACCTAACAAAGCTTAAAAGCAAACCTCAAAAGGATCAAACTATTCCCAAATAACGTACTGGTGTCTGTTACTAGAATCATGGCCAGTCCTAAGAAAAAAAAATAACTTTTTTCTATCTAGTGAAAGAAAATACTTTTTTCTGATATATAAATAATAAAAGCTCATGGAAAATTCTCAACAGCCACTAAGATTCCTCATGAGGTAAAACTGGGCCTATTGGGGTTGCCCTTGGGGAGATCAACCTATTCCATTGCTACTTGATCGAGAATTTTGGGTCTCTCTAGAGTAGGGATTTCCAACCTGTGGGCCACAGACCTCAGACCATTCCTCATCTCCTTTGATCCTCATAATCTCCATCTTAGGTATGGGTACAGTTATTCCTTTTTTCTGACGAGAAAAATAGTGCTTAAGAAATGTGCATACACATGCCCAGGGTCTCAGTGGGCATTTGGTGGAGCCAGGGTTCTTGCCACACAAGTCAAAAGATGGAGCCTTTACTGTAGGGAAGCGGACGTCTTTCTTTGTGGTCACTAAGTCTCAGGACGACATGAGGCTTCACTCAGGGGGCCTTTCCTGAGATTTTGGGAGATGGTGACACAGCAACTCTTTGCGTGGCTCTTGGGACATCACTGATGTTTTGAAAACAGCTTTTTTTAAGACTTGAGTTCTGACTCATTTAATAAAAAAATCTGTATCATGAACTATGGCAGACATATAAAAAAGGTATATAATTCATTCTTTTCATACCTTTCTGCAGCTGCAGGTAGAAGCAATCTAATCTGTGTGTTCACTGAACTCAAGCACGTGGTGCCTCTTTTGTGGGTCTCTTGGCTGGTAGACTCTGAACCACTTTTGGAGGTGGGAGAGGCTCCTTCAAGTAGGTGCGGGTTCACAGTCCATGGAAACGGCCTGGATACACTCAGCACTGCAGGGGAGATCACACACGTCCTCCGTCAGTCGTTAGGATGGAGGCCCGTGGCTTGCTCAGTCAACTACAAGGAAAGAATGACTCAGCCAGGCCTAGGGCCCTGATGGACAGGGATAAGGGGTAGTCTCTTCCTGGTCGTTTCTTTTCTATAAAACTTAAAGAAGTGTTCATAAATACTACAAGGCTTGTGATTGGTTGGCAAAGAAAAATCTTCCTGCTGGCCTCTAGCCTATGGGTTTATGGAAGTGAAAAAAAATAATGTAACTCAAAATCTGAGTCATTATAGTATTGGCATCCTCATTTAATGTCTTAATCTTTCAGAGACTGAAGTATATGTGCATGTTAGGGCAAATGCAGAGTCATAGCCAAATGAGCCTGTGGTGAGAGTTTCTGCTTACTGTGAGTGGGTGAATTCTCTTCTTTCTAAGGGTGGATGCAGCCCTGTCACTAGTTAGTGAATATGTAGACCCAACCAGCTGAGACTGGTGTCCCGGCCAGAGTGGGATTTCCAAGGGGGTAGGGGAGTGAGGGTAAGGAAGATGCCTGCGTAACTAATACAAGGTGACATGAAGCCAGAGAACCTTGAGCACTTTTCAGCTGGAGGTACGGGAGGACTCAAGAGGGCTAGATAGTCACCAGAGAGGATCAGGAAGCCGGCTCAAGCTAGAAGAAACCAATGATCTCAAACATACCTGACTCTAGGGCCATGCTAAACTTGTATCACTTTAGCTTAAATATCTTTATCCAGTGTCTTGTTTCAGCTCATACCATACATGCCCAGGCCCACCCTGCTTCACCTATACTAACCTTTTTTCTGTTTCTCTAACTTGCCAAACCCATTCCTATCTTAGGGCCTTTTGCACATGTGACTCTGTCCACCTAGAATGCCTCCCCTTCCTGATCCCATATTTTCATGATTGGGTTATGTGTAGTCGGGTTTCAGTGAAATGTCATTTCTTTGTGTACCCTGTCTGGAGCAAGCCTCAGCCAGTCACTCTCTCTGTTACATTATCCTGTTTCATTGTCTTTACAGCACACATCACTCTCTGAAATCATCTTGTTTTTACTGGTATATTTAGCGTCTTTTTGCTCCTACTGGAATGTAAGCACTATGAGAGCAGGAGCTTTTTCTGTTTAATTGGTTATTCCATCTCTACTGCCTAGAATAGGACCAGGCTCATAGCCAGGTTTCAGTAAATGCCTGTCCAACGAGTGAATGAATGAAGGGATGCATGAAGTCAGATACAATTGAAGAAAGATGGCCAAGACTTATATATCAGCCAAAACATCTGTAATTAAGTGTTGGTTACTAACCTGAGAATGAGGGGTCTATGCTCTGGTATATGTGCATTTCTGACTTTTGTGTTGTGTTTTAAGAACCTGACACTGACAAGGGCTTAATAAATATTAGATAATAAAAGATCATTTTTACAAGTTCCACTCTTGCTTCAGCAAAACTAAATTAGTCCTTTGTAGGCTAGATTATACAGGGTCAGAGGGTAAGGCAAGCCTTGGAGTGACAGGTCATGCCCAGAGGAAAGCTGAGAGATCCTTATTTGAGTTAAAAGTTATTGAATTTAATGAATGAAAATAAAAAGTAAACCTTGAGTTCTTATGAAGGTTAAAATAAAAATCAGCATGTATATTAAGTTCAAATAGTTATTTTTTAAACTATTTTAATAGTTTTATAACTCAGTCAAAAGAAAAAAGTTCTTTTAATTCTCTTGGGAAAATCCTAACTGACGTGTTAGAGTGGAATTCATTTACAGGAGAGCCAGGGTCTGGTATGGGGGCTTTGACTCAGGGGAGAGGAGCTGCCACAAGGGCAGGGTTGGAACGTGACCTTCCTTGACTGTAGCAGAGACCAAAGGCTAGCAGCTGGAGTGCGGGGCAGCGGTGGCCCATGGAGCAATGGCCTGAGCTTTCTGGGCTTCCATCGCCTCACTGGAAACTGAGGAGGTTGCGGTGCACAGCGAGGTTGAAATCAATAACCCCATTCTTGTCTTTCTTGGGTCCACTCCCTTACACTGAATCCATGTATACGCTGTGGCTGTCAGAAGCTATTTGTTCATATACTTTATATTTTTGAAAGAGACTTGTGATCTGGATTAAATTTAGGCCATCCCCTTCTTTCACCGTCTCCCGTACCACAGTCACAAATACCAGCTTTTTCGCAGCCTCTTTTATTTCTATGCCATTTATTTAAGACTTTTTTCTTCCCTTGGCCGATGGCACTGCATGTATGCTTGGGAGAGACTTTAGTCAGCAGGTGATGCCTGGGAACGTGGGACTCCTGCAGCTGCCTGTGAGGCCTCTTGGGATACATTTCGTGAGCATGTATCCAGCCTGTTGCTTTGGTGACCTGCTGGAAGTGGTCAGCCATGGACATGGAAAGATGATACTCTGAGGAAAGCAAGCTAAGTTTTGACTTTTCTGCTTGCTGAGGCAATATTTAACCTGAAGGAAAAGAAGACTTCAGCCCAAGAGTCCATGGCAGGCATTTTTAAAGTTTTTGTGTGTGTGCGGTTTTTTTTTAACGATTTTATTTATTTGAGAGAGAGAGAATGAGAGATAGAGAGCACGAGAGGGAAGAGGGTCAGAGGGAGAAGCAGACTCCCTGCTGAGCAGGGAGCCCGATGTGGGACTCGATCCCGGGACTCCAGAATCATGACCTGGGCCGAAGGCAGTCGCTTAACCAACTGAGCCACCCAGGCGCCCCCATGGCAGGCATTTTTAAAAAATATAAATCTTGCTAAATGTAAAAGAATTAAGCCAGATTGCTCTCAATTATATATTTTTAAAAATGTTACTGTATTGACAGACAATTTTTTAATATGCTATGTATCAGCAGTACTGTCCTTCCTATATTCAATGCTTATAGTACATTGTTCACATATTTTAATTGTTGGAGCATAATCTCAACACTTGACATTATAAAGCTTTATAGTTCGTAAGCTTGCTTCTCTGAAATAGGGATCTTCATAAGAGATAGGCCTTGTTGAGAAAAAAGCTGTGTATTTTACCTTTCCTTTTCTCTGCCCTCCATTTATTGTTCTTTTATCAGTTGAAACAGTATAGTTATATAAGAAAATACAAAGAAGCACAAAGAAGAATATTTTTAAAAATCATTCTTAACTGCACCATCAGAAGATAATCCTCATATGAACTTCAGTGATCGTACTATACATACTATTTTATAAGCTGATTTTTCTTTATGTAGAATATGCACAATATGTTTTCATTTAATGAAATGTCCTTCTAAACATGATTTTTAGTAACTACATGATACTTCATCCTATAGATGTCCATAGCACAGCCCTCTATTGTGGGAGGCAGTCCAGACAAGGAAGAGAATAGGGTCTGAAGCAGACGTCCTATCTTTCACCAGCTGTGACGATGGCCAAGTTAGGTACTCACCCCATTCCTCAGTCTCCTCACCCGTAAAATGAGGATAACAATAGTAACCAGCAACATATCGATTCCTGTGAAGATTAAGTTATGACACATCATACTTAAAACACTTAAGAGTGCTTATAATAGTGCTCTAAATAGATAGTCTTACTAAAGCATTATTACTCTATTATTCTATTGTATCATTGTATTATTCCAATAGAATCATTGCCTGGCACGTGGTAAGTAGTCAGTAAACATTATTATTACCTATATTGTATTCAGCTTTTTGATGAGATAATACTGTGAGGAATATCTTCGAAGAAAAAAGGCTTTGCTCTCTCCTTATTTCTCTGAGATAAATTTTTAGAAGTAGAATTGCATCTTTGATAGCAGGAGGGGAAGAATGAAGAGGGGGAAATTGGAGGGGGAGATGAACCATGAGAGACAATGGACTCTGAGAAACAAACTGAGGGTTCTAGAGGGAAGGGAGGTGGGGGGATGGGCTAGCCTGGTGATGGGTATTAAAGAGGGCACGTTCTGCGTGGAGCACTGGGTGTTATACGCAAGCAATGAATCATGGAACATTACATCAAAAACTAATGATGTAATGTATGGTGATTAACACAACAATAGAAAATTAAAAAAAAAAAGAATTACATCTTTGATACTTACTGCTAAATAACCCACTGTGGAGGTTAGCTTGAGCTTTCTGCTCTCTCCAGCACAGTAAGAGTGATGTTGTTCCTGGAAGTGCTCCATGGAGGAAATGGCAACTGCCCATGTGAGGATTTTTGGAGTTCTCCAGAATCACTGACTATTGAGCAATTGGGATTTATTCAACTTCCTCTTCCTTTTCAATGCTTGTATGGTCTTCAGGCAAAGATATGAAAAATTTAAGAACACATTTATTTTTGTGTGTGCTTATTAGTGTCTTAGTCTGAAGCTTGCTTGGGAAGATATTTGTATCGATATGAAAATTTGCCTTGTCTACATTGTTAGGACGGCTTCCCCCATTGAAACTAATACTTTTTTATTTTTAAGAAAAAAGCAACAAGCCTTGAGAGCAGTCAGCCTTCCAGAACCCATGCTGGTGGAACAGCCCCGGCCACCAAGGTCAGTCATTTCTTGAACATTTCTTGAAAAGACTCCTAGTCTTCAGGTTGATAAGTTTTGAACAAAGTATCATTTCTGTGCTGGGGGTGGGGGAGGGAATGTAATTTCTTAATAATGATTTGAATGATTTAAAACCCAGTAAAACCATTTATGCTTTAATTCTTTATGGCATATAATAAGTGTCCAATCAAAATTATCATCATAATATCTATAAATAATATTGGACTTTGACACATACTGTGAGTAGAAATATAGTGCTCTCACCTCTTCAGAAAATAATTCAGATTCTCCTCATGTGCATTAGCCACACCAGGCTCTCTGCTAAATGCTCTCTGTAATTATCTTATGTAATCTCCTCACAGTGTTATAATTATTATTCCTTTATACCTGAGGAAACCAGGGATCAGGGAGGTTAAGCATCCCTGACAAGATCACAAAGCCAGGAGGATGGAGGTAGGGTTCGAACCCAGGTTTCTTGTTCATACAGGGTCCTCTATACTGCTGGACCTCAGAAGCTCTAATTGAGCATTCTTTGGTAATATAGCACTGAAGAGCTTTGCAACTTATAAAAATCACTGAAACAACATATTTCAAAACAAAAAACAACAATTTTAGCCAATAGGTTTTTAACATTTAAAAATAGTTATGTTCAGCCCATCTCAACTTGTGGACTTCCAGTATGTCTGAGATCAGCAAAAACCTTAACTTATTTCAGGACGGTCTATAGAACTATCTTAAATAAGCATTTTTCCTTTAAAACTGGTGGCTTTCCTGTGGAAGTCTCATATAGGTTACTTACTTGGTTAAGAGTTCATATTTTAGTGCTTCTTGGAGCCCCAGCTGCTCTGCAGGCCCCTAAAAGGTGCCCAAACCAAAATCCAGCTGAGAAATGAGAAGAAGTTGGCCAGAGTTGACCAGATTTGGGGGTCTGACAGCATCAGTGCTCAGTGTGGGTAAGAGGTTTCTGCATAGCCAAACAAACCCGACTTACCTCTTTGCCACTTATTACTAGCAAGTTTACCTAGCCCCACTGAGCCTCAGTTTCCTCATCTGTAAAATGGGGATAGGACTACTCTTGACAGATCTGCCAAGAGGCTTAAATAAAATAAAAATAGAATATGTAAAACTCTAAGCCCCGAGCCTGGCATTTAGTAGGTGCTGGGAAAATGTGTCTCTGCTGTGACTGTTCTTATTAGCCTCATACTCTATTGTTTGAATGTCTGGAACTAACAAAGATTTTTCAAATATGTCCTGTCTTAAAGTACTTTTATTTAACTTATGCTTAAATTCCGCCTCTAAAATGAGAAGTCTCATTAGAAAACCCTACCCTATGAGATTTAGTGGATCATCAGCAGGTGATTTCCAAATTTTAGAATTATCTAAACTCTTGGGCGGGGTGGTGGTTAGTACATTGTAGAAAATCACACCCAGTTTTCTCTTGGAAGTTAGCCATAAGAAGCAGTCCCTTTTCCATCTTTTTTTTTTTTTTTTTTTACACACAATGTTATCATCCAGTCATTCTGAGTGTATAAAGAATTTTGACATCTCCCCCAAACCCTGCTCTGCCTCAGGAAGCTGAGGGAGGGTGGCGTAGCTGGGAGGTGGAGACATTTTAGTCACATGTTTAGTGTTTATTTAATGTCAAACTTGACATTCTTTCCTTAGCTTCTAAATCATTGTCATCTCCCTTCCTACATTATTCTCTCTCCTGTTGTAATTTCTCACTATAGATTCCTGACCTGCTTTGCTTCACCAGTTTCCTGAATATTAGTTTTCCAGAGTTTTATTCTTCACTCTTTTCTTTCTCATATCTTTAACATTTATAGAGTATTGGAAGAAAAAATTATATATATATGTATGTATATATCATACTTGCTTATTTCTTCTTTTGATGCCTGATTGAAAGGGCTTTAACTCAGCATCATGATCACTGTAAAGATTTTATTTATATATTTTAGAGAGAGAGAGAGAGAATGACAGGGAGGAGGAGCAGAGAGGGAGAGAGGGAGAGAGAGAGAGAATCTAAAGCAGACTTCTCACTGAGTATGGAGCCTGACTCAAGGTTCGATCTCAGGACCCTGAGATTATGACCTGAACCTAAATCAAGAGTTGGACACTTAACCAACTGAGCCATCCAGGTGCTCCAGCATGATCATCACTTTAAAGAAAAGGTCATTCCCATGCATCATTTAGAAAAGCTGGGGGTAATAGCATTTGTGATCACTTGAAGCCTTTTATTATACAATTAATTATTATAACACACACAGGCAACCTCATATTACCCTGGCACGTGACATGACAAAATAGTAGATATAATTGGCAGTGAGAATTAGTCTTGGTTTTCTTGATTCTTGACACATCAAACTTAAAAGGTACAATAAATGATAATTTTACCATTATAAAGAAAACTTTACAGTTTGAAAAGTTAAATATTTTATTTGAAGTTATGCATGAGCTGTGTGATATAGAATGGTTACCGTGTATTACAGAGCTGTGTTTATGAGCGTTCTTACTACATGAGTAATTATGTGCACAAGTAATACCACTTCTTCCGTGCAATTCTGGGCTTGGAAAACCTAAAGAGCTTAAGGGGCATAGGTCTTTCTAACTCAAAATAATCATTGTAAGATGTTTAGTGCTTAATATTTGATTTTTGATAAGTTAATAATGAGGACTAACGAGGCTGCAGAGATGATTCATGCTTTTATTCAAGCCAGTATGGAAAGAGTTGTGGTCCATACTCAGTCATGCGATTGTGCTCAGGCAATATGTATTGTGACCACCTCCTGTTCAGGTGAGGAAACCGAGGTTGAACTTGCATTAGGAATGTGGCTGCAGAAGCTATTAAGATACATTTGTTAAGGCTATTAGTTCCAACTGGAATCCAGGGTTTCGAACTCAAAAAGAATTTCTTGAGGATAGCAGGGGTAGCTCGTGGAAAGATCCAGAAGGCTCCAGCAGCAGGAATGTAAAGTTTCACCGCTAAGAACAATGCCCAGCCATACCAAGGGGGCTGCTTATGCTGCCACCACAGCTTGAGCACCTCACATACTTAGGACCGGATGCCAGAAAGTCTGCCACTGCCGTTCGTGAACACTAAGACACCTTGTCAGACACAGACTTCTTGGTGGGCAGTGGTCTCTTGCCATTGCTCACTTCCAGTCTCATTTTTTTATGGCACATCTGACTGACCAGGGACAACATAAGTCACACACCTCAACCCTGTTACAAGGGAGTCTGGGATTGTGAGTGCTCTGGATTCTACTTTGGGAAGGTGCATATTGATTAGGTGGGAAATGTATCAGTATGTAGTGAGGGTTTTCAGATGTGTGGCCAGCTGCCAACTGACAGGTGTCTCCTACAGAAAGGAAGACAAGAGAACTGCCTCACTGAACAGGAACATAAATGAATCATGATATGTTGTTCAGCAATATTAGGCCTTTAAAACAGAAGAGGGTACAAACAACTTTTCTCCCAGCTACAGGGGAGAAGATTTGCGAAGGAATAAGCACCCATCAGAAAATTCTTTTGTGATTTTGCTCCTGGTTTTGCCATAAATAGCTGTGTTGGCATAAATAACTCCCCTCTCTGGTGCTAATTTTCTCATCCATAAGATTAGTGAGAGGCTGGATAAACTATGTGTGTTCTGGCATTCAGGGTCAGCCTCACCCCACAGTACCACATGTGTGTTACTCTGTGTGTTAGGGAGGCAAGCGTTTTTATTTTAATAATTATGTATATATTTTAATGTGCTGAAAAATAAACTAGCACTTCAGACTCATGATCCAAGGATAGTTGTGCTTAAGACAGGCTAAACTAAAAGTTAAAAAGTAAATCGATTTTTGGGCACCTGGGTGGCTCAGTCGTTAAGCGTCTGCCTTCGGCTCAGGTCATGATCTCAGGACACTGGGATCGAGCCCCACATCAGGCTCCCTGCTCGGCGGGAAGCCTGCTTCTCCCTCTCCCTCTGCTGCTCCCCCTGCTTGTGCCCTCCCTTTCTCTGTGTGTGTCAAATAAATAAAATCTTAAAAAAAAAGTAAATATTTTTTTAATATTAAGTAAATACAATACATTTATAGCCAATTACAAATATTATAGGCAATGCACAAGTAACCAATGTTTGGAAAACAAAATTCAGAACAGTAAGTCTCATATTTTAATATTCACATTGAATCAGTGGGGTTTTTATTAAAATGAAGATTCTGATTCAGGAATTCTGCAGTGAGACCGAGATTCTACTTTTCTAACAAGCTCCTAGTTGCTGCTGCCGCCACTGGTCTGGCAAGCACACTTTCGGTAGCAAGGATGCTGAAGTGTTCTGATGGAGGGTAGTTTAGACTACCTGTACTTTAGATTACCTCAACAGTGATTGGAGAAACTCGTTTAAATACAGATTCTCAGGTTCCAAGCCAAGAATTCTGATTCAAGAGGGTAGGGTAAGGCCCAGGATTTTATATAGTTAATACCTACCCCTAGATGTTTCAGATGCAGATGATCTGAGGACCACACCAGGAGAAAGGAGGAACCTCAGGGACTGGGGCAGCCAAAGCACATCAGGAAGTAACAACGTCCCTCTTCATTTTTAGGAAAAGGAGCCTCTTTCTACATGTACTGCAGGATAAGACTCTCTGAAAAATTTATTTCCTAACGTATAATTACTCATCTGTACTCTTCAGGAGCGCAGGATCACTCACCTTCACTGAGGGGGATGTACTACCTAACACTGGGGGCTATGGTACCCAGGACTCATCCTCATTGGGGTGTGGCCCAAATACGTCACCTTGTGTTCTTTTTGTCATAGGAGGAAATGAATGTCAGTGAAACCTAGATGAGCTGAGGTTTAGTTAAAAAAAATTAAAAGGAAAGAAAATACTAATGATAAAAAAGGAATTTTTTAAAAAGCTTTATTTATTTGAGAGAGAGAGAGAGCAGAGTGAAAGAGAGAGCATGAGCAGGGGAGAGGGGGAGTGGGAGAGGGAGAAGCAGACTCGCCTCTGAGC